AAAGTGTGGTGAAGAAATAATAATGATTTTTCATTAGCTTCGATCCACCACTAGCGTCCCAATAAAAAAAAATCTGACGAGTTCCATGTCAGAGGGCTATCGAAAAAGAATAACATGGTTACTCCCATTGGGGGTGACGATAACACCCAGTTTTTTCAATGGATAAGGACTGTTCATATTGCCGATAGAAAAGTGCTCACCGAATTTCAGATCGCTAGGTTTTGTTTCAACTGAGAGAAATTAAAAACCAAAAATGTATGCGAACCTTAACACCCCGTATAATTAAAACATGTTTCTCCATGACAAAACAGAAAAATACGTATCTAATATTTTGAGTTTTGCTATCGATTGTCAAAGTTAGACGAGTAAAACCTGAGACACCCTGTATATGGCGTTGTTTATTACACAATATAAATTCTGTTTATACAAACCAAAAATTCCACTCATGCGATAGTTATTTTTCTTCCCCTGTATCAAAATATTCCATTTGTCTTCAATCAATAAATCCTGTATAGGTGAGTGCAAGCCATTCGAATAGCAGTATTTTTCTGTAAAAAATTCCCTTTCGGTTTTTCCCTATCTTGAACTTTTTTTGCTGCCTTTCTATTATTCAGATTCGTACTTTCGAATTATATTTTTGCAGTTGAGTTTATACATACCACTAATTTATGCTCATACAGGGTATACCGGGTATATTCTTTTGAAAACTTCTCACCCCTACAATGTCATTTAACATTTTTGAGGGGCTGGCGGCTGGCATCAGTGAAGGCAAAGAGGATGAAACGAGCAAGGTGATTTTTACGTGAAAACATGTCCTCCTCATAGTTATTAGTGTAGCGGGACACAAGGTGAAAGTAATCAAAAAAAAATTTGGAAGTAGAAAGATATCAGACCCTCACTATCCTATCTAGAAACAATTGACTACTTTTTTCTATGGTACCGAAAAAAGTTACACTACACTGTTTTACCACTAACCAAACCGATTTTTTAACGCCTCGACACGTGTTTCGCTAAATTAAAATTTTAATCTTCTCCTGAAGATGCTAACATAGTTAGCGAAACACGTGTCGACGCGTTAAAAAATCGGTTTGGTTAGTGGTAAAACAGTGTAGTGTATTATCGTGCCAAAGATTCCAGTCTTCGATATACCGAAAATAGTTATTTTTGTATCTAGAGCGCGAAATGCTACTTTGGTGATCGAGATCTGATTTTTTTAACGAGGCGTAGCCGAGTTGAAAAAATAGTCGAGATGACCAAAGTATTTCGCGCTCGAGTTGCAAACAACATTTTTTCTACAAACGTCAAACAATATAGTTCTAAAGTAAAAATATGCTCAGCTTTATACAAAAAATAGTGTTGAACTGGCTTAAAAGGCCTCCCCCTATCCTCCCTAGGTACGCACGATGTTCCACGAACATAATAGAAATATCCTTTCGTGCGCTCCAAGAGATAAAACAAAGTTATTGTTGAACATTCAGAAATAAATGATTTCGTGGATGTTTGCTCGATTGAGGACCATAAAGTTGAAATATAAATATCTCATATATTTTACATAACAATGCGCGAAGTAGGCACTTCGCGCACTGTTTTACTTCGCGCATTGTTTTGTGCAAGGTATCATGGTAACGTAGGAAACTGAAAAAAAGTGTCACTTCGCAATTTGTTGTCAATGCGCGAACCTTGTCATTTTTTGACGTTTGTAGAAAAAAGTTATAAACGAACAAACTCAAAAATTACAAAAAAAAATCTACTTCGCATGTACCTGTATAAACCTTTGTAACTTGGAGACTACATAACTTAGATGCCTCAACTTCTCATCATTTGGTTGAGGATATTATGAAGATTCGATCCATGGTATATAAACTGGCAAAATTGAGTTTTTTATATGTGTAAATAAATTTTTTGTCACGCATTACATGAGTAATTTAGCATTAACACCTCTTCAATTGATAATAACTATCTTTTTCACGATATGAATTTCAATTTTTTTCTCCCATCTAGATAGATTGAAGTGTAACGAACAATTTGTTTCGAATAAACTTTTCGCACGTTTCAAAAATAAACTTTTTATAGCGCTTTGAATGACAACGTGCAACTTTAGATAGGTCATGCACAGTGAGTGAGACAGAGTGCGATAGATACTGAAGCATGAGTGCGGAACGAAGATGAAATAATATCAAGAGCTCCATCCACAGATATGATGAATATAATAGAATTATATCGATAAATTTACATATTTGCTCGCTATAAGAATGTCAATTTTAATATAAAACATTCAATCTAACTAAAATTTATCACAAATTCCTCTCAAAGACTCTGAAAAAGTTTTTTATTATAAATATACCATATTGGTATACTATAGTTTGTCCAGCTGTATATAATGTTGATCAATTTTTTTTGGGAACTCAATGTTTGGAAAATTCTAGCATCTTCCAATATCTTCTTGGTATTTTTTCTTTACCATTTTCACTTCGTTGCCTTTGAAGTGAATTATTTTGGGACCATATTTATGAACTGAAGTTATTTACCTACATATTCAACCAAGAACGCTCCTTTCTCCATTCCCAAATGAGACAGTTATCCTCCCCTAATCTTTACTATTTGTTCTTGTCTAGAGCACGTAAACGCCGCTGTATCGTTCTCACTCGTGCGCTCGGATGGCCTCTTACGTATTAGACAATAAATGCTTCTACAAAGTTCATTTTTGAAACGTGCGAAAACTTTATAGGAAACAATTTGTTGCTCACATTTCAATATATCGAAAGATATCATAAAAATTGAAATTCATATCGTGAACTAAAAAGTTATGATAAACTGAAGCGATGACAATGGACATTTTTTCGCGAATTCTGTACAAAATGATACATTTTAGATCGAAAAATAATTCAATTTCCCAACATATTATATATGAATCGAATCTCCAGAATATGCTTAATCATATTATGAAAAGACTACGTATATAAGTGCTATAATTGCGAAGTTACAAAGGTTTATATATTTACGCGCAAAGTTATTTTTTTCTTAAATTTTCGAGTTTGGTCGCCTATAACTTTTTTCGGTACAATAGAAAAAAGTAGTCAAGCTGGAATAATATGTAATAATCATATATATTCAAGGTGGTGAAGGTCCTATATATTTCTACTCTGAAAAAAAAAAGTCTGTAAGGAAGAGGATTTTGCGGGATTTTGCCTCGTTCTCCTCTTAGATGTATATTGCCTAGCGCACAACTTGTAAGCTGTGCCTGTGGAACTTATTCGGAGAATTCAGACGACCGACCGCAGATGCCTCAAGGGGTAACACTCAAGGCCGCTTTTACTATAAATGTTGAAATATTTTACGCTAGAATGAGTTGGAGTGAGACACTAGACGACTTTCTTCGTTATCGGGCCCCGCCTCCTTCGGACAGGATTTTTACTTCCCCCTTTACACCTTAGATTAAGTTTGACCTTTTTCAGAGGGTAAACCCCATCTTAATAAGGGTCCGAAAATGCTACATATAAGGGAGCTACGTCCTTTATAGAACACCTCACAGATCATTTTTCCTTCACAATAAATTCTCGGAAATTGGTGTACGGCATAAACATTTGATGGTGAATAAGACTCTGAATTCAAAATCTCAGAATTCTACTCAGGGGCGTCACATGCGGGGGAGGGGAAGTGTATAAACATTCCTTATTTTGATAATCAGGTTTTTTTATGTTCTGGTTCCCACGAAGAAAGATATCCTGTAATGTTCAGAGAACCAAGGGAAATAAGGAAGGAATTGGTGTTCTTCTTAAATTTCTGGAGGTTATATGCCTCGGGGAACACCCCCCTTGGCAATGTACTCCAACGCCTAGCTGTTCATTGGATGAACGAGTCTTTGGAAATAGATGTTCTGCAGGTCTCCAAAATGACCAGGAAAGGGTCAAGAGAAAAGGCATGCTTGTGTTTTGTTTGCATTGAAATCTACCAACTTATTGGATCCCCATTCGAGAATTATTGCCAAGTCCATATTTATGTTGTCAACATTTCTCCTTTGTTCGTTTCTGATTTGCCTGGCTGGTATTGAAGCCCTGAAAGAAAAAGCGGTATGGAGGGTACTATCATCCGCGTAGCTGTGTACTGGACATGAAGTTGCTTTCGACAAATCGTTGATATGGAGTGGAAATAGTGTTGGTGCTTGAATTGATCCTTGCGGAACACCAGCATTTATGATAAGAGAGTCAGATGAAACTCCGTCGACCACTACATGGAGAGACCTGTTTGAGAGAAAAATAGCTATCATGCCGTGTATCTCGAAAACGAAGCAAGTTAGGACACATCTTTATATGAACTTTATTTCCCTAAATATCACAAGGAATTACCCCTTCATATAATTTCACTTATTGAAGTTTCCATATCGGCAAATATAAATAATATGAACTATGAACTCAAGTTGCCTTAGTATGAATTGCATGGCACTCTGTACGAAGAGATCTTGGATCGTTCCCACATCTTCGAAACCAACAGGTATGATCTTCATTATTCCAGATTTTTTTTGGATATTTTCTCCTCGTCTCTATAAATAAAAAATATGAATACTACTTCAATATACGTGTAGGGAGGACAAATCATATGATTTGCCCGAAAATGTCAATGCCTTCAAAGAATGTCATACTATCAGAGAGCCTAAAAGAAAAACACTAGCTTGTCAGAGATAATTTGTATTGCAAAAGGTTTGGAGAAGAGAAATAAAGGTATGTATATGGAAAAAATATCAAATTTTCATCTTTGTACGTTTTGGAAAATAAAAAATAATTTTTTTGTATGGCAAAATCATCTGATTTGTCCTCACTACACGTATATTGGAATAGTATCCATATTCTTATTTTATAGAGACGAGAAATGAAAATCCTAAAAAAATCTGGATTAATGAATGTACCACCTCCTCGATTAACCCACAAACAGTAGATATAATCTTTTCCAAAAGACATTCGGGTAAATTCGGCTCCTCACACGGCGCTCGCCCTATCCTCCAGCCAAGCGCCGGCGTTACGTCACCGGCACGTCACACCGCAGTGGGGGAATGCGCGCCGTGGTGGGGAGCGATCACGTCCTTCTCGCCGCCATTGGCCGCCCCTAGCCCGCGACTTCCTAATATGGAACGCTGACTTCATTCATAAAACCAAAGTCAGCCGTGCCAGCCGACCAGTCGTCGAGATACGTCTATTGTAGAAAGTGCGTTCGCGTTACCCAGCCGCCTTGATACCGTCGGTGCGCGATCGGCTTAAGGTCTAGTGCGTCCCGTAGTGGTCCAAACGGTGGCAAAATGATCATGGACACTTTGGACTCGCTGCCCAATCAGCACCTGCACCACCACCACCACCACCACACCTCCGCTTATCTGCTGACGGAGAGCGCTGCCGCAGCTGCGGCTGCACACCACTTCAACGTGCTCAGCTTCGACACTTGCCTTTACAAAACCAGCGCCGGGAGCATTGGTGGCGGCAGCCCAGTGCCCGCTTCCATTTGCTCACCCGCTGAGGATCATTCCCCTTGCGAAGCACAACCAGGGGATTTGAATACCCCGGTTACTACATCTGGTGACGCTCCGAGCTTCTTCGGTCCCAGCACTGTCCTTGAACCTCCCCCGATAACAGGTTAGTTTTCACACGAGGAACAGGTGCATATAGTCCAGGAGCCAGGGGATTTTGCCCTGTTGATGGTACGGTAGTTTTGATTTTTGGATGTGTATTAGAGTTCGGGGTTCTTATAAAAACCCCAAATTTGCGACCTCGTGAACCGCCATCTTGGAAAATAGCGATTAGAATTGTTGATGTTCGCATTATTTCCTCACTGGTGGGTACTAGCACAAAAATATCTATAATCAATCTTATAGTAGACTAAATTTCCTACAAGTTTTATCTGAAACATTTTTCTGTACGACTCATGGTAAGGGAGCTGTAACGCTTCGAAATGGTGCAATTAGCTGTTATGAGTTCCAGTTACCCGCGAAATTCAAGTATGACAATCTCTATTATCATGCGATATTTACCTCATCCAAATCTAAACATGGATTATTTCCATTAGTTTGAAAAGCTTTCATTTGTGATGAAAAGAGCTCTTGGCATCTCACTATAACAATTATTTGAACACAAAATCACAAAATATAATATTGAGAAGGAGAAATTCGTTCTATGGTTTCTTAACTTTCTTACTTTGATAAATATCTCTGGGAAAATATACCAGGCTGCGTCTCCAATACAGAGCAGCTTCAGAAGATCATTATTTGTGGGTGTTTCTGAAAGATATTGCAAAATTTAGCTTTTTCCTGGTTAAAAAGGGCACTTGTTGTATCATTGCCAGTTATCGCATGCAGAAAAATAAGTGTTCTGCTACTTTGAGATAACTACATGAGTGTACCAGATACAATAATTCTTCTCCCGATTTCCTTTTTGGTTTCTACCGGTGAATGTTATCATGAACTGGTCTTAATCCTGTTAGAAGAATAAGTAAATCTATGTATTCGCCGACCCCTATTATTGTACCATGGACTCGACCATGGATATACAATTTATGTTCCACCGAAGGTTCCACCATTAACCCAAGTGAAAAATGGTCTTGAAATCACAGCCATCAAACTGTACAATCACCTACCTATAGTATTATTTATTACGCAAATTAGCTGCTTCAAACATTTCATGACAACAAATTTGAAGTTTATCGAAAGACAACCCATTTTCATCCCTGCAGGAGTTCTTTAATAAACAATATGTAATATTTCAGTCAGTGGAAATAAAAAAAGTGTACATTTTTAAGTATATCAGCATCCAACACTGGAGACATTGAAATCCTAGTTTTGACAATTAACGCTTTGGCATCTTCCGACTATAAACTGAATGAGTCAGTTCTTTTGTAGCATTTATCTCGAAATCCATGCAGTTTTCGAAAAACATATAGAAGAGCAAAAAGTTTCCAAATAAGAAGGAAAATCTGAATCAATGTTCCATTGAAAACAGAGGCAACATGCGGTCACCGAGGTCGCAAATTTGGAAATTCGATAATTACCGTGGATTCTAGAACATATCCAAAAATCAAAACCACCGAACCTTTTGCAGGGCACGGCTTACTCACGATCCCTGACTACTGGACTAATAGTCTCGCCGGCTATTCTTGAACCCAGCGGCAAACGTTTAAAAATAACTTCGCCGTCATGGAATCTAAGCAAAATGAGACTTAGTAACTGCGAGCTGTCCGTTTATCCGGATCCAGTAGGCTTTCTGTGACAGATAATCAACAAGTGTGTACATCTGGCCTATACCTTGTCCTTTAGAGCATCGGTATTGCGTCGCGACGGATCGATCAATACTCAACCATTCGGGCCATTGAGGAGAATTTTACTATCGCAAACATGGCGGAGTGCTGTAATGTCAAGAGCATTGCCTTGGCAGCAGCAATCGATGGAAGGGTTGGTTTGTTGATGTGGTATAGAACGTGATGAAGATTTATTGATCTTTATGATATTACTTCTTCTCGGCATAATAATCATAGGTGTGCGATATAAATGGGTTGAAATTATTTTAAGGATGTAGCAATTCTAAAAGAGCTTCAATGATGATTTCTGGATCCTGTCATGTTATCTATACTGGAGTCATTGACGATACCTTGTGCATCATTTGTTTGTTGATGTTTTCTTCGATGTTTGCATTCCATTCCTTCATGAAGCATCCTCACTTCTTATAATCTGATAACAAAGTCCCTGCTATTCAACTTACTCCAACTAACTCTAACAAAACCTTTTTCCCAAACTAAATAAATGTCTGCTACGTATCTGTAAATACCTATGCATACATATCGACGGTCGTCATCTCACGTAATGACATCTCAGTTTTCTTAACTTTACAGGAGTGCAATTCAAAGGTTTCCACCATCTTGATTCGCTCATAACTAAGAGGTTTGGTCATGAAAGATCTTCTTTTTATTTATTAGTGAAACAACTTGAACTAGTCGTTATGATATGGTGAGATTTCGAAAAATCACCGCTAAAAACTCTTGAATATTGAGCTACACCACTTTGTGAGATCATAGAGTATAAGAATATAAGTCCTTTGACGAAGTATCTCAAATTCCGATTTTTATGAGATACGTCATTACGTGAGAGGACCCACGAATAGGTATTCAATATTCATGAGGGTTTTAGTTATTAGTATTCCTGAAACTTACTGCCCGTTGAGTTCATCTTCAAATGAGTATTAGCTGAATTTTCGTCACAGTGCAATGTTCAATACTCATTATTATTGAATTAATTCTATGGTTAGCTAGGAGGTTAGCTATTTTGTTCTAATTCCAAATCTCCGATCCATAATTTTATTTATTTGTTCATCTCATTGACAACTTTTCCTTTTGTTGAAATGTATTTTTAGATAATGCATCAACATTTCAAAATAAATAGACCTTCAATGCCAAATACCAAAACAGAACCATTGCAAATATAAATATTTTCCGAATGGGAACAGTGAAGTTATTCTCAGCATTCATTATTTGATTATATATATTTTCTCTTTAATATTTCATATTGTAATTTATTCAGCTAAAACGATGTTTTTGACAACCATCTCAGCCTCTGAACTCGCCTCTGAAGAATACCTTTATTCTATAACACAGTTCATCTTTCTGCTTTTCAAATAAACAATCTTCAAATGAAATTCAAAAATTCAGATTCAATAACTTCCAGAGTTTTCCATTCATTTACAAATTACCAGTGCTTCAATCGAAGTACAACCCTCATTGGGGTGTCTCTCAATTCCAATAATTCCAAAATTGAGACATAACACAGCTAGGCGACCGAAATTCTCAAATTGACACAATTATTTCACTTAGTAGTTAGTTTTGTGATGGTCGATATTTTCGAATGATGTTTGAAGCTGACTTCATTGAATGAATGTTCAGCATATTTCCTAATGAAAGATTCCATTTCCATGTATAGTTTGATGCCATATTTCATTCATTCCCAAATATTCCGACAGGTGAAAGGAACTACATGAATATTATTTGCTTGTTTGAAGTTTCCAATGATGAAGTTCTCTTTTTCATACAGGAGGAATATTCAAAATGTATTATCGGGAGTAGGTATAATCAGGAACATATTTATCACTTGCAAAAACACTTAACTTCAGGTATCTAAGCTGGAAACAGCTGGAAATGATAATATCGAGGGAGAAACAACTCTATGAATAGGTGTACACCATGGAATTCCAAGTACTTTAAGTATCATTTTCAAAACATTAAGTACATATTTAATGAACTTTCAAGTCTCATTTTAAGAACTTCAGTATTTCAGTACTTGTTAACTTGTATACCAGTTTGAAGTATCTCAAGTACTTTTTAATTGCCAGATATTTAAATATGGTGTACACATTTTGGGTAGTTGTTTCGCCCTCGGATAATATAAAAGATCCAATAGGTAGATATCTTCACATGAAATCTGTATTTCACTTACGAAAATCCATTGCCAAAAAATATTGCCAATTAACTCACAACTCACCTAGAGTGATAACCACAATAGTTATTTATACACCAAGGTAGTAAAGAATATTATTGATACCGATTATTACCCAGGTACCAAGATTATATACCGGTGCTTCAGCCCAGGGGTACTTGATGGGTTAATCCACTTTCCCAAAAACGCGAGCTAAACCGTACACGGATTGGACAGATTCGACGTAGAATTGAACCAATGTTAATGGATATTATCGAATTTTATAAATATTATATTGGACATTGGCATTGCGAGATTAGGTGTATGATAATAGATTTTTTTCACCACTAGCAATATATTTCATTCATCATAGTTCTGTGAAACTGAAATGAGAACCTATATGTCACTATGAAAGCACTTCTTTTCAATTCACCATGACAATATATGACAAGTCGAGTGACAAGTAGTTATCGATAAATACTTACTACCTGACCTTTCCTACCCTATGAACAGCTACCTACTGTATGATATTTTTTGTTCAAACAAAATTCAGCACAGTTCACTTGGTCCAAACCTCGACTGTGCATTCAAAGGAGATCATATCTCTAGTCATATCAAATTCATATCGGATTTCCTTCTCGACATTTAATGTACGCGTAAGCTCCTTCAACTATTCAAAGAAAACCAAACATCAGCATATAAGCTCAGCCACTTCACCACATCGCCTAATCCGAGGCCTAATCCCTTCGACTCCCATACATATCGTATTACAAACCCATCTCATTGTTGCAGGTTCCTTGGACCCAGAAGAACTCTCCATCGAACAATCCACACACCACACCAGTTCCCATCACTCGCCTACCAACAGTCAAATAACGGAACGAGCCACACCTCTAGAATCCGCCCTGTCTCCCAGCCTACGAGAAGAGGAGAACACCAACCACAGCACGCTCAGCATGTACCCCCACTCCAGCAACAACCTAGCCAAGCTCCAGCACAGAAGCGTGTACACGTCAGCAGCCAGTCCCACCCTATCGGGCAACCTCCCGATGTCTAGCTCCAGCCCTCTGGGCATGAGCCAGACCCTGGGACACTCACCTTCGGCCGTCAACCAGTGGCTGCTATCCAGCGGCGACAAGCCTATGTACCCCTCCATGTTCGGGCTGCTGCAAGGCTCCTCTCAGAGCCCCCAGCAACAGTACCCGCCGCCAACCCCTAGTCCAGCTGGTACCCACTACGATGACCGATCCCAAACAGATCAATTGATGCTCAGCATGGAATGCTCCAGTGGCATGGCGATGAAACAGCCCCCGACTTACCCCAGCTGCTCCAGCAGTGGCCTGCAACTAGACATGCAGCAGGACCTGGTGTACTCGCGGATAAGCCAGCCTATGGTCAACCCTGCCAAGTACCAGTGGGAGAGCCAGGAGTACGATTCGCAGCAGAGCAGTGCGTTGGTGGTGCCAGGACCTTCGAGTCTGGTACCGAAGCAGGAACCTTTCAGTGCCGCGTGTAGTGGGGATTTAGGACAGACCTCAGGGGGGGCGTACAACGTGCAGCTGGCCGAGTACAACCCCTCCACGAGCAAGGGGCACGAGATCCTGAGCCAGGTGTACCAGCAGAGCGCCATGCCTCTCAAGCTGGTGCCTGTCAAGCCTCGCAAGTATCCGAATCGGCCCAGCAAGACGCCTGTGCACGAAAGGCCGTATGCTTGTCCGGTGGAGAACTGTGATAGGCGGTTTTCCAGGTCTGATGAGCTGACGAGGCACATCAGGATACACACGGGGCAGAAGCCCTTCCAGTGCAGGATCTGCATGAGGAGTTTCTCGAGGTCGGATCATCTGACGACGCATATTCGGACGCATACTGGGGAGAAGCCGTTTTCCTGTGACATCTGCGGGAGGAAGTTCGCTAGGAGTGATGAGAAGAAGAGGCATGCGAAGGTGAGTGAGATACGGAGAATTTGTAATTGTCTTGCTCAATTCGGAATATTCGAAAACTCATTATTTTCAACGTACACTGAATGGATTATCATTACTGAAAAAGGTATCCTATTTACTCAAAAATATCAATATTTTCACTCAGTTGAAACAATATCCAGGGCGATTTTTTTTTAATATCATTCCCCTTTTATTCTTTGTACATCAAGCTTTTTTTTTATCGCTTGGAGCGCACGAAAGGGAATCCCTATAATGTTCAAAGAACATCGTGCATTCCTAGGGAGCATAGGGACAGGAGGTAGGTATTGAAGTTTTTTTTGAACTTCTGGAGATTATATGTTGTTGGGAATACTTCCACAGGCAATGAATTCCAGAGCCTAGCCGTTCTATGGATGAAGGAGTCTTGATAAAGTGCTGTTCGACATCTTTCGAGGATGACAACGAAAGGATGTGCTGACTGGGCTTGTCTAGTTCGTCTGATCGGTATTGCTAGTGAAGGGATGATGGTAGAGATTTCCGAAGAACATTTCCCGTGGAAGTATCGATAGAAAAGTGAAAGGTCGCCGACCTTTCTACGGTGTTGCAATGAGGTCAAAGAGTGAGTGAGTGTGGCGTCACCCACCAGGCAGATAGCTCTTCTCTGGATGGAATCTAAGAGCATTAGCGTATGTTTTGGTGCTGAACCCCATATGTGGGAACAGTATTCTAGAACAGGCCGTATCTGCGCTTTGTAGATCATGAGAAGCTGTTGAGGTGTAAAGTAGCTTTTCGCACGGAACAAGAATCCGAGTTTTTGTGAAGCAGCTTTTGCGATGGATCTGACATGATTATCCCATGAAAGAGTGTTGCTGATGGAAATACCGAGCATAAATATGGTGGGCTTGGTGGGGATGGTGGAGCCAGACATTACAATATCGGGCATACTGAGTTCCGCTTTTCTAGAGAAAATACAGGCTTGAGTTTTGGTGGCGTTGAATTCAACTAGGTTGTTGGTTCCCCAGGCTGTGATTTCAGCAAGATCTTCATTGACAGCATTGACCTGCCTGCGCCGTGAGTTCTTAGTTTCCTGGGAAGAAATGGGAATTCTGGAAGAGAACGCAGTATGGAGGGTACTATCATCTGCAAAGCTGTGGATGGGGCAACTTGTTACTCCCAACAGATCATTGATATGAAGCAGGAATAATGTTGGTGCCAAAATTGATCCTTGTGGAACGCCGGAATTGATGCCAATGGTATCAGACGATACACCGTCCACCACCACGTGAAGTGATCTGCCTGAAAGAAAACTCGATAAGAGTTGGCATAGCTGAGGTGGTAAGCCGTATGATGGTAGTTTGTGGAGAAGTCCTTCGTGCCAAATACGGTCGAATGCTTTCGATATGTCCAACGCGACAGCTAGAGATTCCCCGTGTTTTCTATTGAAGATTGCCATAAATGTATCTAAATCAGACCTATACTCCACGTCAAAGATAGTTCATATTAATATGGGATACTGGGTAGGAATCCCACAGCAATTCACCCTTCTTTCGTGAGAAGAAAGGATCTCATGACCAACATTCATATGAAACTTCCGACCTCGTATTTTATTTAGATTGCGCTGGTGATATCAAATTTCGGAACACCCTGTAGAGCTACTATATTCTTGCTGTATGCAATAACGTTGATCTGATTAATATTCATACTTTGACTCGAATTATATAACAACTTCACAGCATCAGAAAGACTCAATTTTTTTGCAGAACTGGAAGAAGCTGTTTGATGGCCTATTATATCGTGTCATATTTTTCATGAATGAATTTTTTGTTTTGTGAATAAATCGTTCCATTTCAACTAGGATTTTAATGACAAAAATTACTTCTCTTTCAAGGCGACATACACCAGGGCCTACTCTAGGTGAGATAGAGTAGGCCCTGCATACATCCCAATTGCCCAAGTGCGTAGATGTTTTTGATGTTCCATCAATTCTCACATTCATTGCAAAATATTTAATGAATCACTGGATAAATCATTAATAGTTACTAAAACACTGTCCCGTATAACCTATACACTGTATATTTTTGTCGCGATTTTTGTATTCTTATATAGTTATTGAGTGGTTGATGCAGGAATATTAATTCATTCAACAATATTATTTCATACTATAATCTACAGAACCACGTTCTGTATTTAATATTTCTTGAGTTATTGGTCGACCAGACCAGAACTTATAACCTCTAAAAGTTGAAATAAAATTCCAAAACTTACCTCCTCTCCCTATCCTTCTTTGGTACGCACGATCTTCTATGAACATAATAGGAATTCCCTTTCGTGCGCCCCAAGAGATAGAAAAAACAGAGTTTCTACAAAATGTATCTTTCTTATTGTGAAAACTATTCTTGTCTGATTTGGAAATTGTATTATACAGAGTCCTGCATCTCACTTCCCGTCTTCTATAGCTCAGTTATTAATTGAGTTATCAAAGATTAAACCACCTTCGTTTTTTATTCTTTCAAATGGCTATCAGAATAGTTGAAACGAGTCTTCGGCAAATAACCTTCGATTCGATAGAAATTTCGATAGGGTTGTGATCGGGTTGTGATTAGATTATTTTTTGTTTTTTTAATTACGCATCAAATGACATGAAAATATACAAGGTAAATACAGGGGCTCCTATTTATATAAGGAAAATACATAGCTTTGAGAACTTTTCCACTAAATTGTGAGTTCAATATGTATCCTTTCATGATTTTAATAACGTAGCAGCATCTTTTTCGTTATTAATTGTTTTGACTAGTAGTGCAAAATTGATTTTTTCAGGAATACTTTTTTTTGTGAATATCACTGAACCGATTTCATTGAAATTCCAGGAGTATGTAGGTGACCACAAAAAGCACTCAAATATGCAAAAAATATGTGGTAGGCCATTCAAAAAATATATATATCCATCGTTATAACGTCATACTTTTTTGGGATACCCCTCGGGATACCCTGAGGTATCCGATGAAGACGCAAAATATCATAATTCCAACTTGATTAATAACTGAGCTATAGAAGATGGGAGGTGAGATGCAGGACCCTGTATTATTGAGTCTACTAACTATTTTGGGCGATTATTATAGTGTCGCATAGATGAAAACCGTTAAATGCTAAATGACTCATACTTGAAGTCTTTCAGCAAGGGGGATTTTAATCACAGTTCCATATTCCGATCATAATGGGCTGATTACTCTCACAAAAAAAACTATTTTCAGTTTTCCGCTGGTCTATTTTGAAACAGTGAAATCTAGAGTGCCTTGAACATCCCATTTCACCCTCATGTTGTTGAACAGCTAAACGAAAAGTCAGTTTTCCGCTGGTCTATTTTGAAACAGTGAAATCTAGAGTGCCTTGAACATCCCATTTCACCCTCATGTTGTTGAACAGCTAAACGAAAAAATGAGAGACAAATATGTTTTATTAGAGATTGAATGTCTTTTTCTTGTACCACTTCGTTGAACGAGTACAGACCTTCTGTAGTAGTCTATACTTGAAGTGGAGTGGAATGATCCAGAAAGAAAACTGGAAGTCGTCTCCACAAGTTTAATGTTGAAAAGTTGCAGTCAATCCTGCCTCTATAAGGTTTGAGACATTCAAATGGCCATTTTCAGTCAAATTAGTACATCAAAGTGTATGTGGAATTCATCTCAACTTTGAACTTTATCTCAATACATAATTAATTAATTCGAAAAATGGAATTTAAATTGGGAAATTTTGAAAGGGGGGCAAATAAGCCAATCCCTCAGAGAACATTAACTTCGTCATAGGTAGCCGAAGGAGATCTCTTTTTTCCACATACACTTCGATGTACTAATTTGACTGAAGATGGTCATTTGAATGACCGAAACATGTCTCAAACCTTATTGAAGCAAGATTGACTGCATCTTTTCAACATTAAACTTGTGTAGACGACTTCGAGCTTTCTTTCCTGAGTACGGACCTATTAGTATTCGAATCGTCATTAATTGAATCGATGGCGTTACATTGCACTAAAAGCAGGTATTGCTCATTTTGTAGTTATACCAGTATTATATCAGCGAATGTATTTCCATGAAAAGGATATTGGAATTTGAATAACGAACAAGACATATTCGAAAACATTTCCGCAGGAAATTTCCAGAACTGACATGATGACAATTCGGGAATAATAACGAAATGAATAATAAAATGAAAACTGTCATTGATGAATTCGAAGTATAGTGTAGATGTAACCATTTGATAAACAACTTGGATAAAACAACGTTCATTCAATTTTCAAACAAATACTATCGTCCACTTCCTATTGATCCGCGATTAGAATTATCAGACTGTACAAAATTCCTTGGAACACAACTGGATTGTAAATTATCTTTCAACAAACATATTGAATACCTTTCCACAACACTGAAAACAACTTATTACGCTTTCCTAACATTGAAGTCGAATTTCACGAATCATAATCTACTGGACATTTACTATGCATTGGTATATTCCAAAATAAGTATAAATATTTCCATTTGGGGACTAGCATCAGATGTAAATCTGATCTTCATTATGCAAAAACGTTTTTTGCGTCTGATTTTTGATGTCAAATATAGAGAATCTTGCAAAGAAACATCTAAAAATAACCGTATTCTTACACTACCAAGCATTTACCTTTATAAAACGCTAAGTTATGTTCATTTAAATTCCGTATCTTTCATGCAGAATAAAGAAATCCATTATCATTTTACAAGGAACAGAAATGATTTCCATTTGACCAAATGTAACTATTGCGGGTATAAAAAATCCCCAAATTACTCAGGAACAAAATATTTCAATTTACTTCCCCAAACCATCAAAGAAGAAAAAAACCATGTGAAATTTAAAAAGCTCCTCAAAGAATATCTTCTCACAAGTTGCTTTTACTCCCTCAAAGAGTATGAGAACCTCTCTTAATATGATGTATTTGCTGTACTATTCATGAGTACTTTGTTTGTATATTTGTTTTTTGTTTTTGTTTTCGACGTGTCACATATACAATTTGTATCAAAAATGACGAAATAAACTTGAGTTTGAACTTGAACTTGAACTTAATATTGGTGACAGGCGTGTCCTCACTCTTCATAGGGCGTGCAATGAGTTGTTCGAGGTGCTCAAGCGAAATCAAACTCCTCATGCTAACCACCTGCTCTTCTTTTCAGGTGCACCTCAAGCAGCGCATGAAGAAAGACAGCAAACTCGCCACCTCCAACAACAACACCTCCTCCTCCTCCCAATCCTCCTCCCCCTCGGTCCAACCCCCTCCCCAATCCCACCACCACCACCTGCATCCCCACCAGTCCCACCAGTCCCACCAGTCCCACCACATGCACCAGCAGCCCCAGACCGGCGAGGAGGTCCTGGGCCTGCCCTCGGCGAACACCCTGTGAGAAACGGCCGGCGCCGGGCTCGAGCCCGGCGAGTGTATCTTGCTGATCCGCGACGCCGGCTCGCCGGACCTGGACGAGCCCCACAGGATCATCCTCGTGCGGTTCGAGTGAGTACGAGCGCGCGGAAAAACGTCCCGAGTTTACCTGATTCGTTTGATCTCGTGAGTAGGTAGGGGGCCGGCTTGGACGCGGGAAAAGAGGCGGGGCGATAGACGTTCGATGGGCGTGACTGAGGGCGTAACCTTGTGGTCGGTCACGGGAGGGAAGAGATCTTAGAATCATACCAGAAGGATTTCAAAAGCAAGGGAATAATTTAGAAGGTGTGACTTGAGGTTAGGTTTTTGATTCAATGTGCGATTCTCAGGATGATTTTATTCCAAGAAAATCGTTTTCGAGATACCAGGACTTGAAACTAAAAATGATAATGCTTTTCTCATTGTTAATTAAAGACTGTCTGTAGGTTAATCGAGGAGGTGGTACATTCATTATTCCAAATTTTTTGGGATTTTCTCTCCTCGTTTCTATAAAATAAAAATATGAATATTATTCTAATATACGTGTAGTAAGGACAAATCAGATGATTTGCTTCAAAATGTCACTGCGTTTAAAGAATTTTCCTATCAGAGAGCCCAAAAGAAAAATTCACTAGCTTGTTAGTGACAATTTGTATCGAAAAGAGTTTGGAGAAGAGAAATAAAGGTATATAGAGAAAATATCAAATTTTCACGTATCTTTGGACGTTGCGGGACCGATTCTGCTCCCGTTTTCAACATAAGAAAAGATTATTTCAATAGCGAGTATATGAAGCTTTTCAGTTTTCATCGACAATTGGTGACGTTGGCAATCAAATGAGTTACAAGATGTTTTCTTCAATTTATCTCGAATCTACCATTTTCAGTTGATAAAGACAGAACATGGTATTCACTACTAAAATCTGAACATGCTTGCCGTTCTCTGTGCGATAAACGGTTCCAGAGATAATCTCAAGAAACGATTTTTTTTTTCAAATTTCAACACCTTATATCTCGAAAATGGTTTCTCAGAGGGTAGGTTGATGATTTTTTTTTATATTTTTGGACGAGCTATCACATCCTGGAGTCCTGCACATATATTATGAAACACCCTGTATACATAACTTCAAGAAACACCCTTTCTTGGCCTGTATGCACATAAAAAATATTCTCGCAATAAATTGAATGATATATAGTTTCAGAACAAATTTTACTGTTCAATCAAGTAATTACTTCTTGCATGAAATCTACACCACAGCATTTGAAGCATGAAAATTAATTAACCATCGAATGTCTATGATCCCCATTTTTATTTTCGTGGAAAAGTGAGCCGTCCTATGGATCTGAATACATCTGTGCCATTATCGCGTTTTTTCCATAATTATTATGAAGTCGATGAGCATTATAGTGACCTATCACCATAATCAAAGGCAAGGTGTTAAATGATTTCTGAATTGTATAGGGTGGTCCAAATAAACGGTAGTATAAACTGAATACTCACACCAAGAGATTATGATTCCAATAAGGTTTTTTATATATCATGTAATATTTCTGGGAAAAGTTGTGTCATTGGAAATAATTGAAATTTGATTAAAGTACTTGCCCAAATAAATTGATAAATCTGGACAGAACATCATATTGGTTTTTTCCTGACAGATTGAAAATAGTGTACGTACGGTCGTACAGTCGACTATTCCGTTTTTTTTCACCACCCTGCCATTCAGTGGAGTCTGCCTATTGATAAAAAAGAATAATTCCCGATTTAGATCTGAAAACTATCGGATTCAACTCTGTATACTGCTATGAATTTATAGAAGGGTTTTTATGAAAGAAACAAGTGAATAAGAGGTACCTGTGACGTTGTTAAACTGTTGTTAAGAAAGTATGTCAAATTATAAAGTGTTCACTTTTTCTCAAAAACCCGTATTAACATCTCATGTTACAAGGTTCACGAAATGTCTTCTTGCAGAATGTGATTTTGACTGTTACAATTTATTAAATATGTTTAAGGATTACAATTTAATCATAGGGGAATTATTATTTGTCTTATGCTCATACAAGCATACCACTGACTGAATTCTGCGATATCTCATCGTCGCACATATAAAGGATTGTTGAAAATTGAAGAGCTATTTTTGTATGTTTCGAAAAAATTGTTGAACATAATGTATATTTTATGTTGGAAAGTGTTGTAAACACTCCTGTAGATTTTTAACAATGTAGAAAAAAATAACAAGAGCTTTAATTAATTATTTCAGTTTGCAAAACTGATGTTTTGAAACGTACTTGCCAAATAACAATTCAAAACTGATTACATTCCGTACTATATATATTTTGTATTATAGATCATAAATATTATATCGTCTAAGATGAACTTACTATTTATTAGGAGAGATTGACAATTCTTTGGGTACCATTCAGTTGACTAAGCGCACAGTTGAAAGTTGTAGTCCAGTTTTGGAGAAAAGTAAAGTTTCGCGTTTGCCTTAAGAAGTGTCTTCAACGTTGAAACTCCTTTGAACCTTGTTGAATTTTGCCATCTGTCAAATCTGATAGTTACCAAACCATTTATCGAAATAATGCAGCCATTGAAATGAAGAATATTGAGCAGCGTGACAATCATTTCAAAATGATTTCCTTCATTAAAAAAAATTCAATGTGATGATCAGTATTTGGGATTGGTGTTTTCTAAATTATTGGTAGAAGGCATGTTTTATGAAATGAAACTATAAAATCTGGTTTTTCCAAACTTTCCCTATACTTAGGTGTGTTATCTACAACAAACGTTCCTTGGTGAAATATATAGTGAGAATTTTGGAACTAGATTTGTGTAAAGGATGGCTGAAGATAATCCACTTTCAAGTGATCTGAACTGTAATCGTAATGAGATTCGTTTTCACTGTACATGAGTATATCATGAGTAAATTCAAACGGTAGGCCACGAAATTTTTTAAAAAATCCACAATTTTGAAATTTTTATCTAGGTAGAATCTCTTTCTGATCAGATGCAATAACCTTGTTTCCATAGGTTCGATATTCAATGAAATCGACATTCAGAGAAAGAAATTGGAAAGCGGTTGAGATATTCGGAAATTTTAACGATTCAAAATTCAAAATTGATGACATTGTTACTTTACATATATGTTTCGAGTGTAGAACACTTGGGCAAGACAGCGTGATTTATCTCTTGCAATCCATTACTCAGACCCAGTGTCAAAATACGTCGCTATTTTGTCCACGGTATGTGTGTGATGTCCTGCTCTAAAATCTGAATATGTGGCCTAAATATTTTCCTTCAAATGTTTCGTAATTGTTCATAGACACTGTATATACTTGTACATAGACATCTAATTTAAAAATTTAAGATATCATGTAAATATAATTATTATCAAGAATGAATTATTGTTGAACGTCGGTTGTTTTATTGAATACTGTTGTTTAAATATTCGCTCACTATGAACAATGTTGTGTATTGTTTATATTATTTTGCACAAACCTTTTTTAACATTAGGTCTCTATTTTTATATTCCATGAATTGATGTATTGAAAAACAGACCAGAAATGAATGAAACGATGACTGTATGACAATTTTTTTCTTCCCAAAGATACTGTTTTTATCATTATCCTCATTTTGACTACTTTTGACAGTGTGACTCACCTAAGCTCGGAGCACCTACCCATGAAATCTACAGTTTTCAACCGATTCCTTTTTTTATCTCAACAGGAACTGTATCAGAAGGTCTACGATTTTCAAGATATTTTCATTGCATACTAAGTGTTAATTCCATGTTAAAAATAGCGATGTTCCGAAAATCAATGTATAAGTTTGCTTCAATCAAAATATTTCGATTAAATTTTGGGATTAACCTAATTGAAAGATGCTGAATCCAGTAGAGAAGACGAATTTTCTTGAAAGAATTCGCTATTGATATTTTGCAATTCTTAACATAAAAAACATAGTAGATATGCCCCAAAAATTGGAACAATATTTTGCAAATTTGTGTAAACTAAACTCTTGGACACTCTTTTTCCTGAAACAAAAAAAATCAGTTGAAAACTATATAGATTTCATAAGTGGGTCACATTGTACCTATGTGCTCAGCTTGAAATATTTGTCTTTCGCAAAACTATGCAGAAAACCTCAATTTTTACATTGTGCAAATTATTATATACCACTTCATCGTTGTCATCGATTCTTTCGTTGTGTCCTCCTTCATTATGTTGATCAAAAGATTTTGTCTAGGGGTATTGTGATATTAGACCACCCATTCGAATATTCAATTTTCATTTCCCCTTCTGAAAATGATGTTAAACCAGTTGTTCCTTCGTATATGTTTGATTATTGTGAAGAATACAATACTAAAAACATGAAACAAGTTGATGTACCTATTCGTGATGGTTGTTTCAGCTGTTATGAATCTTCCCACTGAATTTTGAAAATAAACTGCTGAATAATTCGTGACTTGTTTTATTTAAATTTTCCCAAGTTCCCCAACTGAAAAACAAAAATTGTTCTTATGCGTAATACAGTTGCCCCCTTACGAGCAACCCTCAGAGGTCTCGAAGAAACTTGTGACTTTCAACGTGTGATCCCAAACACTTTCTTAGGCCATCAGAAAAAAGTCTGCAGTCGTGGGAATCGAACCCACGAACCGGCAATCAAACATAAAATACTGACGGTTTTATCTTTCAACTTTTATTTTTCAACTTTGATTATACATATGATTGTAATTTATTTTTATTTATACTTAATGACCTACAACATGGTTTTATTGTACCATGTGATATAAGATGACTTACCATATGTACACACTGTACCAAAATGGCTAATTAAATATTCAAAATATTTATTATCATATAGCTACCTGGCACCACTAAAAATACCTACAGGGTGGAGACTTTAACTGGAATATATTCGCAAGGGAGGAGGCGAATATGTTTTCTAATAGCGTTGTCCACTCTTCGCATTAGCTCCAACTTTTTCGGCAC